TGCGGCACGAACTTTCCGGACAACTCAATACAAATTTTCCACGGTACTTAATACATGTATTATATCTTACATGAATTATAATATACATACTATATAATATTTTTTTTTTTTTTTTCAGTGTTGCAGCGACACAAAGTCCTGTAATATTTGTTGGTACAGGAGAACATATAGATGATCTAGAACCATTTAAAACGAAACCATTCATTAGCAAGTTGCTAGGTATGGGAGATATTGAAGGTCTTATTGACAAAGTAAATGAACTCAACTTAGACGATAACGAAGAATTACTTGAAAAAATCAAACATGGTCAATTTACCTTACGAGACATGTACGAACAGTTTCAAAATATCATGAAGATGGGACCATTTTCACAACTAATGGTAAATAATATTTAAAAATAACACTCGTGCGTGCGTGCGTGTGCGCGCGCGCGCGCGTGTGTGTGTGTGTGTGCGTGCGTGCATAGGGTGTTTGGAAATTAGTGATAAGTCTTTCGTAGAATGGATTAAACTGAGAAGAGGAGTCCTCTACCATTTTGCAATTTTCGCAATAGCTAACAAGATAAATTGCTAAAAATTGCTGAAAATTCATCTTTAATAATTTTTTACTTAAATACTATCAACTTTACAGAAAATTGTTTATTTTCTTCTCAAAGAATTCTATGAATTTTTCAAAATTTTTTATCAACTTTTTAGCACTGTATTTTCTCATTTTTACCAACATGAGAAAATACGGTATTGAAAAATTCTGAAAAAATTCTTAGAATTCTGTGAGAAAATAAATAATTTTCGTCTCTTGCAGTTTTTTTTCTGTAAAGTTGTAGTATTTGAGTAAAAAATTATTGAAGATCAATTTTCGGCAGTTTTTAACAATTAATATCTTTTTAACTATTGCGAAAATTGCAAAATGATAGAGGATTTTTCTTTTCAGATTAGTCCATTCTGCTCCTATCCGAAAGACTATCACTAACACAATTCCAAACATCTTGTACGTGCGTGGGTGCGTGCATGCGTGCGCGTGTATGTGTATGTAAAACTATAATAATATAAAATATTCTTTTAAAATTTTATTGTATGTAGAATATGATTCCTGGATTTAGTCAAGATTTCATGTCCAAAGGGACAGAGCAAGAATCAATGGCAAGATTAAAACGACTCATGACTATTATGGACAGTATGAACGATTCAGGTTTGTTTAAAATGTTTATATTGTTTCTCATAATAATTTATCTAATTTTTCAGTAATATTTACGTTTTTATTTCAGAGTTGGACAGTAGAGATGGAGCTAAATTATTCAGTAAACAACCTGGAAGGATAATGAGAGTGGCAAGGGGTTCTGGTGTGACGGAAAAAGAGGTCAAAGATTTAATTACGCAATATACAAAATTCGCAGCGGTTGTTAAAAAAATGGGAGGTATAAAGGGTTTGTTCAAGGCGGGAGATATGGCGAAAAACGTTAATCCTACACAAATGGCGAAACTGAATCATCAAATGGCTAAAATGATGGATCCGCGTGTATTACATCAAATGGGTGAGCAATTTTGTACAAATTGAAATTTTAATGATTTTAATGATTTAAACACAGTTTTATACAAGAGAGTTCTTCATAAATTTTATTATTAAAGTTAAAGCATTTTATTCACTATAGTTCTTGAAAATACAAACCGTCTCATTATGTTATAATGCTTTCCGTATTATTTTTTAATTTATTTCGAATTTTCCACTTTTGATCACTTTTTCTATAAACACAGTGTATCTTTACCATAATTATTTTAGGTGGTATGCCAGGATTGCAAAATATAATGAAACAGTTACAACAGGGCGCGGCAGGTGGATTGGGAAACTTAATGGGAGGTTTCGGTGGTAAATCCTGAGATGAGGTTCCGGGCAGTGCATACTGCCGATAAGGACATTAAATACCATTACATACATCTCACGAAAAAGTTATCTGTCGTATCTGTCCTATCTACAATACCGGAGAAATTATATTTAAAACTTTTTGTTTACATACACATGCGTTTTATAAGTGATGGAATCATGAAAATGATGTGCAGCGATAGTACATTCATAAACATCTTTCTATCGTTTTTTTAATCGCTCATCGAATCGTAAATATCTTTGGATGTAATGCAATAAATTATCAAAATACGCTATGAAATGCGTATCATAAGAGAAAGCTAATTTATTTCAACATTGTTCATAGCCCTCTCATCTATCCTTGTATCGTATATTTTGTTAGAAGATATTTATAAAAGAATTTGTTGTTATTTTTGTTGTTCTTTTAATATTAAATACTCTAATCACAAAAAAGTTTCAGTTGGTAGTATTGTTGTTATCATAATTAAATAAAAAAAGTATATATGTTAAATGTATATAATTATCAATGTAAATATTCATATAAAGGAATGTATGTATTATTATAAAGAAATAAAAATTGGCAATGCAATTGTTTTTAAATTTCGGGTAAAACAGTTTTATATATTTCATACTTTATGACATTGGTATAACGAGATCAGTTAACATGGCTTGAATAATTATAACAATAATTATCTTATCTATATACGCAGTACTTGAAAAAATAAAATTGATTACGAATTTAAAGTCTTATTCTGAAACGAATGACTGTTGTACGCTTATTTATTATGGATAATATATGGCATTCTCGAAATAATTATATTTTTTCATTGTTGTTACTGTGTCTCCTTTCAAAATTATTTAATAGAGAATATCTTAGAATTATTTCGCGGGTACCATTTATTTGTGAAGCAATAAATAATATCATGTAGGAAACGTATATCTTTATGTAATATATAATTTAACGCGCGTATATTTTTTATTCGACTCAACCAGGTACAAGTGCTATGCTCTATTACAGCATATAATACTGTGCTCGAAATATTTTAGCAACTTAATTGTACAAAAGAATCTTTGAGCAACTGAGGTAGAGTGTACATCAAGTAATATTAAATAGGAATGCGATGGAATCATTTTAATGTAAAATGTCTTAAGCTTTATAATAATAATTAGATTCATTGATTGTATGTGTATGTTTTTAAAGTATTCCTATTTTATTACTTGTCTGACTCCTTAAATAATACTTTCGAGATGGTACGTGTCAAAGGAAATGTCTCATTTGTACCATAACAAGTGCCGTTCCAATCATCAACGTTTAAAGATAGAATCATGGCTCCTTTGAAACCATTGGTACGAATCCACATATTCTATAATACAAACGTTTCAATTAAGTTTATATTATTATATGTTACATTACACATTACAGATAGATTTTACAAATCTGCTGAATACTTGATGTTGTGTTAAAACGCGTTACCTTGTAAGAAACGCTCTCCTCATTGTCGTAAGATATCCATTCCCTGTCTTTGAACGCATATGGCACACGACTTTCTTTATTAAAAACGCTCTCAGCTCCAGATTTTAAAAATTGACAAATCGTAGGATAAGATACAAAGCCTTTTACGCCAAGCTTTCCGAATCCGCTAGCCGGCGCTTGTAAACCATGATTCACTGGATTGTCCAGTTTGTATGTGTGACCATAAGCCGGTATACCAATAACAATCTTCTCACGTGGCATTCCCTTTGCTATCCAGTATTGAGCAGAGAAATTCACATTTAATGTGGATAAATAGCCTGTCTCTGTACAACGAGGAAAGAGTGGGGCATTCAGATCTGTTACCGGGAAGTACCAAACGTAAAAATGATAATCATATGACATGAGATTTATAAAGTCAATGTGCCTGAAAAATATGACACAATTTGTAATATTATTTTTATGATTATGATAATCCATAATTATTATATTCTTATACAGTACATACTCTGCCATTTCAGGAATACTGTAACTTTGGTCCACAATGGCCTGTGGCGCTGCAACTGCAACTGTTAAAATCAATTTTTGCCCACTATGGTCAAATTCTTTTCGTAATTCTTGTAATAATTGCGCAAAATGTATTTTTTCACGCTCATCCGCCCCTAACCAGGCTGGAAACTCCCAATCAACGTCAAAACCATCCAAACGGAAAGTTTTGGTAATGTTTAATACTGACTGGATAAACCTGAACATAGGGACATATTTATATTTATATATCTAGAATATGTATCACACATAGGAATGGGAAGTAGCATGGTGGACGTACTTTTTTCTATTCGCGTGATTTTTTACCATCTCGGAGAAACCATTATGGAGCTCATTGTTTCCGCCAGCGCTGATCATGACCTTCAAGTTAGGTTCGAGATTCTTTAAAGCAACTACTCGCTCATAAACCGGCGCATCGTCGCCTATGTCGAGCGTATTGTTCACCACGCCCGCAAAACCCACGATAATATGCGTACAAATATGAGGGTCAATGTGCGACGGACTGAGCTCCCACGACGTGTTCAGGTCCCCCGGTATTGTATAGTAGCACACGAGGACCTGGCTAGATTTCAAATAACATACACTCAGATTGCTGAATAGTCAAATATGTAAAAATCGAATTGTACAGGGTCTGTTATAAATTTTGATCAACAGAATGCTAGCAGAGTTTGTTAATATACACACACATATATATATATATAT